CTGCTGCAGTGCCTGTGCAGAATACATAGCACGGAGTAAACTGACAAAATAATTGGATTATACGTGAACAATTCAGACTTTCAGTTACTGGGTGCTTTCTTGCTCCTGATTTTCACAGGAAAGTCAGTTTATTGTTCCTTGTTCCATAAGTCCTTGCACTGCTTATTTACATATGAAAAGGTAAGTTTATAAAAGAGCTTTCCTATTTTACTACATCTAATAGTTAATAATTTAAATCTGTAGCCATTATCATCATATAGATTGACACAAATGGCATATGGATCATTCTGGGGATGAGGGTTAGTTTCTTTTAAGAGAGAATTGTTTTAGTTTTTGCAGGAAATTAATCAGGGGAATGGGCTTTGTGGAGCATGGAGCAAATCTAATCTGTCCTTTGTTCAAATTTGCCTTGCTCCAATTCCTAGCAATTGTAGACAACATGCTCTTTTGTTCAGGAGCCACTTGTTACATGCATAATTAGAGACTGCAGTAGCTGTGTTTAAAGAAAAACTGTTTTCCAATGTAATGTGTGATCTTGATAATAGTATTTTCATCAAAGGTAGCAATTACATTCATTAAGCTGGGACTGGCAAGGCAGCAAGGAAATTAAGTGGAAGGTGAATAAAAAGCTCCCCATTTCTTTTTAAAATCTCTGTCTCTTTTTAAAGTTGAAATGCACCACGTTGAGCTGTAACTGGAAAATACATACTGAATATAAAAAAAGAAAGAAAGAAAGAAAAATAAAGTCCTCCTTAACCTTTCTGAATAATGATCCAGAAGATATCCTAGGGACACCTACTATAGATGCACTTTTCAAATTAAAGGGCTTTATTCTACATTAATTTCTTATGCAAGTTTTAAACGAGCTCAACATATGATTCAGGTCTTTAAAGGCTCCAGGGCTCTCTAGGATTAATTCACTGTTCTTTTCACACATAAATTAATTGTTTTGTGTTCTCAAAAACGGCAAACAGCACATAAATCAACCAGTTTAGAAAAGACACAAGGCTGGTACCTTTTGCAAATCACTGAAGTTTCCTATTTACACTTCATTATTATAATGTAACTTTTAAAGGCAAAGCTGTAAAAGTAGGACATATGTTATTAATTCTAAACGGATTTCTTGAATGCGTAACTCGTTTTAGCAGTTTGATTCCTTGAAAGACAAAAGTTGTGGAGCACTGAAAAGCCATTCTTCCAGCACTCTAATTATATTTTTTACAGTTACTAAATCAGTTACAAATCCCTAATGTATTTGCAAACATTCCTGCATAAAAATAGCTCTTTTTTTGGTCTTAACTCCTGTAAAAACGAGATTTGCAGATGGAAAAACATGAAAATCTAAGCACGTGAGCCTTGGAGCCACAGGAGGGCCACGCACAGCCGCAGGCGTGCGGTCTGTCAGCCCTGGGGGGCCTCCTTGCCCGAGTGCTGCCCCAGGGCCCCTGTGGCCCCCCCCCCCCCCCCACCAAGGCACTCTGCTGAGCGCTCACGGATGTCTCATTTTTTGACTCTGACATGTAACATCCTTTTCTCTGCGCTCTATTGCAGACCTTCGCCCTGTGCCAACAAAGCCAGAGCAGCATGCACCTGCCCTACTTGCAGGGTGAGGAAGTCACTACAGATTAGGGCAGAGCCCTCACCCAGGTAGGTGAAATACTCCATTTCAGGATCTCAGCAAGTGTCGAACGAAGCCAAACAATACTGACAGCCAGTGGGACAAGTCTAACACTTACAAGCACTTAAAGTGGAACAGGTCCCGAGAAGCAGAACACAGCAGGCACCGTGCTCCCTTCTCTTCAAGGATGTCTCACAGCACACTCCCATCTTGAGGAAGAGAAAAACCAAGCCAGAACCTGGCTATGCCCAACTCCAAAAATAACCCACTTCCCCCCTCTGGCCTTCCCAGAAATAGAATACGAAACCACAGCATCTTGGCCAAATTGGAATTTGCATAGTTCTTCTGCGAAGCATTTCCTTCAGTTAGGATTGATTTAATTATTCTTCACTTCCTCTTCGAGAAATCATTCCTGGATAATGATGTTAGCATACAGCAGATATGTTTCAGTCAAGAAATGGATGCAATTCAGTGCCAGAAGGCTTTAAAAAAAAGACAGACACTTCTAAAGAGAAGTAACAGTATAAAAAAAAAGTTGGCTATTAAATTACAATAGTTTGAAATACCAGATCATTTGGTGTTACCAGATAATTGGGTGGTTTGTCAGTGCCCTGAAGAACTGGAGGATAACCACAATATTCTTGCGGCCCAGATTCCTACGCAAGAGTAACAAAGTACATTTTAAATAATTACTAAATAATGACAAGCTATATTACCTCCAGAGAATTGTTCATCTCTGCAAATTGAATCACTGAAGTCAAAGCACAGTGAAACTAAAATACTTCCAGCATAAAATGGAAGACCTACTTTGGACCTTGGAAATTGTAAATCCGGAATGACAGTCAAATATATTTTATGACAAGTAGTTTGCTTAATCTAGCTTTTATTATTCAAGCAACAAGTAAAATAACTTGGTATATGAATCAATCATGGACATTGTCTGGATTAAACTCTGAGAATTATTTCTTTTTAAAGCCTGTCTGGACAAATAAAGAAAAATAATTTGGAATTTAAGAAGTGGACATAACAGTTTGTGTTTGATAAAAATCAGGACCAACAAGGAATTTTTCTCTGAACATGGGGAAAATAAGAACATGAATATAAATACAGCCTTCATATCTTATAATTGTCTTCCAGTACATAATAGGGAATCATAACACGTTTTCAAAGTTCAAGAAGTACCCGAGCTGAAAAAGTGCTTTGCCTCAATTCTTACTGGAACAGAAATACTGCTTTTGGTACGTAAACATCTTCCAGCTCAGGAACGTCTAACATTTTCCTTCCTAAAACAAATAGCATCATCTTTTCTACCAAAAAGCATTTGTTGGGTACCAACTACATATTCAATAGCTGAATTAACACGTTCTATGGAGCTTTTCAGTATTTAACTGCATTTCCAGAACCTTAGCGCTAATTTCTGAATTACTCCAGTTCTTTTCTTGTCAGTTTGACAGAGATAAAAACAAAGCTTCTGTATTAGATGCAACACCAAAATGATATAAAGGTTCCACTGTTTTTAAGTTAGCTTTTTCATCTTAGCCTGCCCTGTATTGGATAAAGCATACAGTGATTCCATAAACAAAGTTCCTTCAACTATTTTAGCATAAATAACCAGTGTAACTTTTAGCACTTCCGTTTTCATACTCTGCTTTGTGTGTCCCTACAGGGGGGGAAAAAAGTCCCGAGGAATGTAGCTCATGTATTTATAACACCATTTTGTAACACCATCTTGTCTCTGGGTACCACCTAGAGAGAGGCAAAAAATCTGACAGAGACAATATCAAAAATAAAACTTAATGATTGCTCTAGTTACACTGGAAAAAAAAAATCAACACTTTGCATTTAATTCACATCTTTAGGCAAGGTTTAGCAAATAGCAAAATCTTGCAGTATGTCTTGGAAAACAATTCAGGCCAGAACTATCTGAGAAGCTTGCAGCAAACCTAACCTGAAGAAAATGATCTGCAGATTACTCAGTTGATCCGCTCGGTTAGTCATTATTCAAAAATCCTTAGCTGAGCCCTCATATGAAAAGGTAGGAAACAACCCCTCAACCAGGACAACAGCAGCTCTAGATATGTGTACAGAGCGTCTTGTTTCCTATGAAGCAGAGGCCCAGCCAGAGCTCTTCCGCAGGCTTCAGACTGCTAACTTTTTCAAAACCAAAACAACTAAACTTATTGGGCCCAGAGAGACACAGAATACAAATTAAATATGAATTGATGATACTGTAGGTCAGCTCTTCCCTCTATCCTATTTGCACCAGGGAAAAAAAAAGTTGTACTGTAGCTGGAAAAATTTAAGATCTGTATTGATCTGCCAGCTTGCACTTGGCCCTAAAAAAACATTTCAGCTCTTCACACCAACGAGTGCTTTCCCATTATGACCCTCTAGATATCTTACAGATGAAACTAAGCTTATTTTAAGTCCTGCTAATAACTGCAAGTTGACATTTCTTTTTTGTTAAACATATCAAAAGCAGTCCAGCCCTGCCTTATCTGTCGCTTTATAACAGATGTTTTTAAAATGGTCAAACTGTGACAATGGTTTGTCTCAAATAGACTGTAAGCAGACCTTCGGTTCTGCTGGGTAGAGTAGAATTCACTTTTCAGTCCATATATGCTAATTTCCTGGTCAGGCAACCCAAAAATAAACAAGCTAGCAACATGGAAGTTAAGGATTTATTGCTGTATTTTAGGTTTTCCTGTTGCCATTAGGATTTCTTCCTTCACTGCACCATGCAAGGTAGTACATACAGCTTGTAATAGTTTTCTTTTCTCCAGATACCCCTACAAAATTTTTCATGAACATATTTGTCTAGATGTTCAAATTCCTCATTGCACACACTTGATAACGAGTTCTTCTGAAATCATTGGTTACTTGGCTATTGAGATACTGTTTTCTGTTTGGGCGGGAGGATTTGTTTTCAGTCAAGGCATTTAGTGAAGTTACTGCCATTTCTTTATGTGCACAGGCCTCTAGTATTAGTATCAATGTAGCTAATAAGACACTATTTCTATTACATCTTTATTTCTATTTAAAAATATTTTTAAGGTTTTTTTAAACCAGAAAAAATGTAATATTGCATATCACACATCCTTTAGAACTTCAACATATCCATGATTAGTCAACATTTGAATAGTCTGATTTATGAAACATGCTATTAGGAAACACACTGGCTAGTTCTAGTAACATAACATGTTACAGAGATATTACACAAGAACAGAATATTTTAAAGAGGATAATAAATGCCAAGATTTCAAAGCAGCTTAATAATGTCTTTAATATCAGACAAGAAAACATCTGCAATGCTGCTAAGCTGAACTTTGTTAATTATAGTGACTGATTTAAAAACTGGCATATTTTTGTAATTCCTATTTGTTAGCCTAGGACTTTGGATTAACTATGCATTGATGTTTGACTGTGTGTAGTTTCAAGACAGACTCAAAGAATGATTACAAGCAAACCAAGAACGTACTTGCTTCTTGCTCATCCTGTGCGTACAGCTAACCATGTTACTTAGCTCTAGGCAGCCAAATCCCGGAAAGACAAGACTTCCGGCCATTCCGCTTTACCTAGATCTAGAGTTACATCTCAGATGGGAAGAGAACTCTTTGGAAAACACTCGACTATAGTATTTCAAAACAAAGTCATGTGAGAATTCTTTGAGAATCATACAATACATATTCATCTTCCTTTCAGCCCTCAGTTGATCTGTGCCTCCTCCAACAGTTTGCATAGAGATAACATAACAGGTAAGTATTTATGAAGTATTTGTGGTAGCCATTAACCACTTTCACATAACTCTCCTATAAGATCTATCATGTTGGTGCAGTGAATACTTTCTGGGGTGAAGAAAAAAATGTTTCTTCAGTTCTCATGTATTCAATCAACAGGCTCAAGTCAGACAGCTTCTTTAGAACCAGACTACATTTCAAATCTAGGTTCTCTTGGTATGAAGAACTTGAAATGGGTCTCTTACCAAAAGATGTCCAAATGGAAATGTAATTATATGTTAACTGGAAAATTCTTTAACTAGTAAAAGGCTCTCAAAGACCAAATTTCTGCAAAAGGGAATCTCTGGAAAATGGACGGAAAGATGTAAAACTTTGTTCTCCTAGGAGCCTTCTAATCTAGCACATCAGCAGCTCCTCTCCCTTTCAAAGGAGGAATGGGTCCCTATAGTACGTTTTTAAGTACTTCCTCTATTCTAGTGTAGTACTCCAATAATAATGCTTTCAACTTAATTAGATCATTCCACCATCTAATGAAAATGACTCATTAAGTTTCTCATCATATCCAACTAATTTATATTTTTCTTAATTTCATCCTACTGTTCTTTTGTTCTACCCATTGGACAACATTAAATGCTCTCCAGTTATTTGAAATGCACTAAATCATGCATCTCAGTTATTTTTCAGTATTGGTGATCACAATGGTGACCACAAGGGCAACCAAAAGCTCCCTCAGTATTCTTGTCTAAGCCGAAAACTTTGCATCAGTATCTTTAAATAGCTTACATACTTTACGTTTCATGTAAGACTTTTCTAACATAATCTTGATATGGAAAAAAAAGGAAGAACAGCAGCATAGAAAACATCATATAAAATGCTATATTTGAGTATTTTCCATGCAGTAATTAAACCCTTCTGTGTAAATCTGCCTCAGAGGTTTATCATGGACCAGAACAGTACTAAAATATCTATCTTCATTCTGTCCCATTAAAAAAGTGCAAAATCCAGGACATGATTTAAAATAATAATTATTTTACAGAACTGTCAGCTGATACACAGTACTAACACTGCATTTAGCCAAACACCACATTCAGGCACTTTTTTATACATTCTCAATACATGTCTTTTTCTAACCAGAAAAGCCCAGACATAACATTCTATTACTGAAGAGGCCCCAGTGCAGTAGACTAGACTGCCTGGGTTGACTGAGGCATATAAAGGGAAAACTCACTAACATAAAGTTATGCATATAGTTTATGCATAAAGTAGCTTTAAGTCCTACTCTCATCACACAAAGCTTCATAACATCCACAATACCACCCCTGCAGCGCTAGAATCACTGGTGTAGCAACCACTAAGAACAGTCCTAAGCCCAACAGTGCCAAATGTAGAAGTGTGATTTATGACAATCCACGATGCTTTTCCCAACCTGAATTGGGGGCGCAGGCAGTTCCTAATAACTCTTTAGCACAAATGCACAGCACACCTTATTATTAAACCAACATCTGCATTACTGTGGCAGGGGAATCAGGCTTAGGGAGATTAAATAAGTCGACCCTTCCCAGAGTCAGCCAGTGCCCAGAATGGCTAATGCCAGACAATGGTATATACCCTTTTAAAACAGCAATGGAGTCTCGGCAAGGAACTCAGCGGTCACAGTTCATCCATGCGTATTTCTCCACAGAACTTTGTAGAAAAACACCAAACAATGCATACGGCTTCTTTCAGAAGGCATTGTGCACTTACAGAATACAGCATATGTAACTGAGACACATTTACTTTTATAGCTATAAAAGTAATCAAAGTATTGGCTTTGCTTTTCTGAGATGAACTGCCGATTAGCTGACAAGGCTATTCGGGTGGTGTCCTGGAACATAGCATGCAAGTTATGATTGCTGGAAATCACGCTATTTTGATTTGTCCTGATCATTTTTTAAAAAATACACTCCTGACAGTTCTGTACAAAGTAACAGCCCTTCTACATAATCTTGAACAGCCAGCTCTTAGCTGTCCTTCAGAGAGCTCAGCACTTTTCTCCATAATACTTGATCCATAACAGGTTTGCTTTTATTACTGTGTTAGCTCAGGTAAGTATTGTCACTTACTCACTTCCTCGACTTGCACAAAACTCCAGAAGCCAGGCTAAGATAACATCTCAAACTAGGGAGCCTATTAAACAGTATGAATCAAAAACCTGATCTCTATTGACATTCATGTTAGCAAAGCAGGCTAAACTGCAGCCAAGGACTGCCTCTCACATTAGCACAACTCACCATATTCTTCAATATAACAAACATTTTGTAGCTTGCTTGTGCTCATTTTAGACTCATAGGTAAGAGTATGTTGAGTAGAGTAATTGTAGTTAGCTGTTGCTGTGAATGTAGTCTTCATTCTAGTCTAACAATATCCTTAGCAGTTGGGTTCAGCTGAAAAAAGCCTGCAAGCAACCTAAACTGCATTTTTAATAACATAGCTAGAAGCAGCCTTCAGAAATCGTCTAGTCTACCCTCCTACGTCTGTATTTTTGAAAATCTCATAGTTATTGACCAAATACAGAAGGTGCTTGTTTCTTCAGCACAAGGATAATTACAACATTAATCCTTTGCCTATCAACAGGCAAAGTGTGCATGGGGGGGAAGAGTCGTTCACTAAAGCAGTTACTTCCCTTTGAGGCTGAGAGCAGGTTAGACAACCATTTACAACCTCAGTGGTGCTGTCCCTCCTTGCTTTTTCCTTTGTTTAATACCATGCACTGCAGTCTGCTTGTTTCACCCAAAACACACCATACCTACTAAATCTCATTTTCCCTGGCTTTACTAGAAAATCTTTTGGGAGTCTGACTAACAGTCAAAGCCCCATTCAAAGCAAAGCATCAGTGACTAGCAAGCTTTAAAAATGAGATTCTTCTAAACTGTCCAAAACACAACCCTCGTCTCCCCAAAACACTTGAACAAATTCTCATTATCAATGATAATTTTTCAGATACTAAGTTTTCAGTCTCTTGACTCTTAGTTTATTAGTTCTCCAACACTGAGGAGTCTTCTTTGGTAAAGAAAATACATCTAAAGTAAAGAGAGGGACAAAAAGTAAATACTCCTGGAAAAATATTTTTATTTATGTGTATATATATATAGGCATATATGTGTGTGTATATGCGCACACACATATTATATAAAAATTCTCCTTTTTCTCCTCAAAAGCAGAAAAGTTATCTCAAATGGAGAAACACTTTGCTCTTTGCAGAGAACTATTGAGTTCCATGAGAGAGTTCTCAGCTGCAAATTAACTAACTCTCAGGAAAGCTTGGAGGATCAAAGTATGTAAAATGCATTGAGCATGGAAAAGCTACTGTGAGGTGGTATTACAGCACTCCTATTACCTACCTTATAACTCTGTCTTTCTGCAAAACTACTAGGGCTTTTTTAACCCCATTTCACAGAGATTTCAACTCAACCGTTTATAAAAGGAAAACTGTAAATAGCCCCTTAGATTAAAACCCTTAACAACTGAAGGAGGCTGGAAAGAGAGGTAGATATTATCCACCATTCACTACTACAAATTGGGGCTGGAGGGGCTTAATTACCAAGATATACTTAAGAATACACTAAGGGTTGCTATAAAATTTACTCCAATTACAGCAGCTCCATAGGAATCGCTCAGCCAGGGAGAGAGGAAACCAACTATCTATTTCCACGCACCTCCTGTGCCCCACGCTAATACAGGGCCATCAAGAACAAACAGCAACTCTACCCTATGCAATAATTCTGCTACACTTGGAGAATCTTCTTTTCTTCTAGGCAGCTTAACATGTCCTTTTGCATCATGCAAGAATTTGCTTCTTTTGTTTTCACTCTGAAATCTCCAAATTAAGATACACTGGATAATCTAAACCAATTTAATAATTTAAATCAATGTACTACATTAGAAGGCTCTCAGGTAGAGAGATCTATAACTACATATTTTTAGCATGATTTGGAGTTGAATACGGAATTCATGAGTTCACATGAAGTACTTGCTATCGTGAAATGTGAATTCATGGTTTTGCTTATGATTTCATCTATGATAACGTATTTTTGTTTTATGTCCTTTGTGATTTTATAATTACAGGTAAATGTGCAATTCATGATTAATGTTCAGTGGAATAATTCCTCTAACAGTCAAGAATTCCTTAAGGTTTCAGTACTCCTGTGCTAAGTGTTTTGCAATGGTGCTCAACTGGATATTTGAAGTTCCTTCATATATCGTACCTGAAATCAAAAGAATATAAGTTAGAAGAACATAAAACTGCAGTGAATATATGAAGATAGATCAAGTTCTTGGTCTAACAGTCCAATTAGAACACTTGCAATTATGAACATTCAGTGAATAAGTTTTAGAAGCAAAATTAATATTCACATAAATGCTAATGTTTTATTGTCTACAGCAATGAAAATCCTCTTCTGCTGGTAAAATATAAGTAAGAATTTTTCCTGAAAACCAATTCCTAACCAACATAACCAACAAAAATCAAGTATTTACAAACATCAGCAATAAAAGTCAAAGGATAATATTGTTGGAAATGTCAACTGACTAGGTCTAGGGGATTAGACTTGTAAGTGAGGAAGTCCTGAAAATTAAACTCCACCTAGATATACTCTTTAGCTTGAAGAGTTGAATTTTCAATTTTTTCAATGAAACAGGATAAAATGTGCGTCTGTGTATTATTTATATCTAATCAAACACTTCAGCTAGGCCTTATACCTAAAGCTTTATCTCCTTATATCTGACCGTTTAAGTCAGTGCTGATTACAGTGTCAGGGGAAAAGTATCTTTAAACAATAAAAAAAGCAGCCAGTCATTCACGTTTAAACTAGAGTAATACTAATGCTGCAAGAAACATTCAGTAAAAACTGTCACTCACCTATCTTGCAATCACGATAATATTTTTCGATTGGATAATCTTTTGTGAATCCAACTCCACCCATCCATTCAATACATTTACTAGTTGTCAGTGTTGCAACCTACGAAAAATGAGTTTCACAATTAAAGTATCAGCTTTTAACTTCAAATTGGTGGCAGCAGATTTTATTCTTTGCAGCTATTTAAAACAAAAACAAAATAGTAATTAAAGCAGCAACTAGAAAAAGTGGAATAACGAAAGACTGATATTTCTGCATTTATCTTATGCAAGTTATTTTTATAAGCATATTATTTGTTTTCTAAATCATATACAAACAAGAATCATTCCCATGTCACTCATCTGAGGACACGCAGAATTCACTGCTACTGCAATAGTTCATATTCTGCACTGACTGTGACAAAGAGCAGTAGCAGTATTCAAAACAGCAATTAGCATGAGGTAGAAGCAATCCTATGCATACCTGGTTTTGAATCATATTAAAGATTCAAACCGTGATCAGAAGAGTTGACATGATCACAAAGAGTCCCACCCATGCCCTCGCCCTAACTACAAAGAGAATTCTGAGAATGACATCTCTGAATGAATGAAAAATACTAATTCACTTTCTCTTTTAATGTTGTTTTATTTTTTCAAAATTTTATTTAGGGGCTTGAGCAGTTTATTCTTCAGTGGCCTGCTTTATGTTCCATACCGAACTGAGAGTGAGAAACAAGATAAAAGTACATCCACAGATTTCATAAGGAAAAGAACGCGTGGGTTTAAATTCATGTTAACAGAAGCATCTTTTAAGTAGCAGTGAAATACATCCATCGAACAAAGAAACTCTTAAGTTACCTCAGCAGCATAATATTTGGCCATGCTTGCCTCCTTTATGAATGGCCTTCCTGCTTCTGCAAGACGAGCTGCATTGTAGGTCAACAACCTTGCAGCTTCCAATTGTGTGGCCACGTGAGCTATCTGATGTTGCAGCCCCTGTAATAAGCAGGCCACAAGTCAGACAGAACTAATGCCTAGTATTCAAATGGAATTTCTAGCAAGAATCAATCCTTTCAAAGGAATATACCTATACTTTAAAATAACATAAAGTTCCAGATGGACTAGTAATTCCATATGCCTCTGCATCTAAGTCAAAGTTGAGAAAAGCTGGGCCAAAGCCCTTTCTAGGAACTGCACTCCCATTTTCTCCTTCCTTCTTCTTGGATTCAGGAGTACTGGGGAACTTCTTGCCTGACTGGCCAGATAAGAGTGTACAACATGAACCTATTTGCCCTCGTGAACATCAAGGAAAACTTCAGCCAAATTTATTTTGTAGCTATCTATTGAGAACATTCTTATGCTAAAGAAATCTAGTTCCCTGATGAAGCTTAATAGAAAAAGACTAAAAAAAAAAGCCCCCCTTGAAGAGAGGGCAGAACTAGCAAGGCGACAACTATTTCTTCCCTTGCCCCATAACCATGAGAAAAGAGTTAGGAGCAGCATAAAAGTATAGAGGGCATGATACATGAATAGGCTCATGGGGAAGAAAAGGGGTGATGGAGCTCACCTCTAAATGGTAGGTATTATAGAAGAGTAGGTTTATTTAAAAAGACCCAAACATTAAGATGATTGAAAATGAATGTTGAGAGGTCTAAGTACAATGAAATCATTCATCTTATTAGAATTCATCCAACGTGAACACTGCTCCCTAAAACTTGCAAAGTCATATATGCAGGTCAAAATAACAAAATTATTAGGCAATTATAAATTCCATTTCCCATTCAAAAGATGCAGTTCCAATCATTTCCTAGTTATCTGTGGATACTTCCTAAGATTTGTATAAATTATGAGTAGTACTAATGTTCCTTCTCTTCAGCCAAGACGTAGGTTTCTTTTAACAAGAAAATTACTATAGTAATTACAATTATACATCTTCCTTATTAAACTATACATCATTTTTGCAACAAAGTCTTTTTCATTTTTAGATACGGATATTATCATGAAAACTAAGTGTCTCTGTAAAACACAGCAAATCTAGTAATTCAGTTTTCCTCATTTTTTGTATTTTCTAGTGTCTCCAGAAAAATGGAGACTTCCCCTACATCACGAAAAGGGTATAAACACTGAAACACATTCAACACACTGAGATTAAAAACAAAAGCAAAAGCAGTTCCACGTATATTATTTTCAAAGGCAACGAATATACTATCAAGCAAAGGACTTGCACTAATTATGTTTTGAAGTTTTAAATGCTTTACAGCAGTACCTGCAGAAACACATGGCACTGAATTTATACATTTTACATGACAAATAAATGTTGATCTGAAATTTTTTTGAACAATTCACAAATATTGAAAAGCAGACAAGAAAAGCATGACACAAGACAGAGCACAAATTAAGCAAATCAGATTACTCATCACACTGACTTCATACTGTGATAACCACTATTCTCTTGCAGAAAACCTCCCACATTCAACAGACAAATACCTGAAAATCAAATACGCTTTTCCCAAACTGGACTCTCTCCTTTGTATAGGGAACCGTATGGTCAAAACACCCCTGTGCCAATCCTAACATCTGTAAGAAATAAAAAACATATTCAGCAAAAAGTTAGTTATTTGAATATGCACAAAGGAAACGGCAAACTATCTGACTAGAGGAACAACTGTTATTTTAAATATTCAGAAGAAAAGTTAAGTTTTCTTCCTACCTAGAGATTACTAAAAATTACATTAAGTCAAAACATAATAAAAATTCTGTACAGAACCTCAAAAGCCAGGGTTCTAACAACTACTAGACTTACTGAGGTAAGTCATAACCAAAATAATTGTTTGAGGACTGAAGCCTATCCCATACTCCTCAAACAAACCCTGTTATTAAAGGTAAAATATTTGTAAAAACACTGTTCATCTTTGAGAAGAAGTTATGGGTCAAATGTGGTTTCTCAAGTAATTAAATGTCTTTGGGAAAATTCTTAATCTACATAGGAAAATGACTGTAAACCAAACACTGTAGATCTATTTTACATTATTAAAAGAAAAACAATTTGAAGGATTATTCAAAACTGTTTTCACATTAAAAATAATTTTTCTTTTTATAGAAGATACCAGACTGTCAGAATCAGTAATTTATTTCAGAATTTAGAGAATTAGTATAGTGAAAGGAGATGTAGCATTAGTTCAAGCATTTTCTGGAAAAAAACATCTTGACAGAACAATTTTAGAACACCCAACGTCTTTCCACACACTTTCTTCACTCTAAAGACGATAACAAAACACAGTTGTTTACCAGGAACTGGAAGAACACAACAGCTAACTTCGTACATGGCATCACACAGTTACTAAGAAGAAAACTGCATCTTCCTTCATTGAGCTGGATCAAAATCATTGACCAAGCAATAAAAAACTAGCTGTTGCAGTGCTAGTACTTGGAATTCTGACTGTCTGAACATGTTGTCTCAAGTATGCAATGTTAACAGATTTCATCCTATCCAAGTCTCAGATCTTGAATGTCATAAGTAAAAAGCCATAATATTTCTTTGATATCAGTCCGTAATCCTCTGTTAATGCTAATAAGAATTAATGCTTGCCTCAGGATGACAGTTATTATTTGAAAAGATCTTGGTTTTGTCTGTGAATGTTTAAGTGCAATATATACTAATCCTGGAGGACATTATCTGGGAAAACACACATGCTAACATTTATAAAGAAACCAATATCTACCTAGTTCCTGATTTGTCAGCTTAAATAAGCATTATGAAATCTCTGAAGTACACCAGAAGTTTTACATCTTTGAAAATACCAAATTTTGAGAAGTATATTCCATTCCAAAGGAGACAGTAAAGAAAGGATCCTGCCTTTCATATAGCTTGGAATATATGACTGGTAGTAAATAAAATCAGCTGATTTTATTTCATAACTAGCTATCCATTTGGAGGCATTCTTTCTACCTAGTTTCTTCCTAAGAGAAATAAAAATAGAAAATTACATCAAGGAAAACATAAATCCAGGAATGAACAAAGGGGAAATGAATGACATGAACTAAAAGAACAAAACATGAAATAATAAAATTGGAATCTCAAAACTTTTCCAAGTCATGACAGCACACCAGAGAGTGACAGTCCGCTATGTCAAACAGCTTATCTCAATTTACTTTTTATGATGTCCGATAGTATATGGCTTGTTTTTTTGATAGACTGACATTTTAAGCTGAAAGCCAGTGGCCCCAAGGAGATAAAAACGTGACTTTGACTAGGCTCAAACACAGCTACTCCCTAATCATTTAAGGCTCTAGAAAAAAAAACACGAAAGAAAGGAGAACTAGTACACTGGAAATAAGAAAATAATATAGTATACACAAGAAAATAATATAGTATACTGCCAATTAGCTGTACTATCAGATTTGTTGCCTTCTTTCAGGACGCACGTAGAGATGAACTAAGGATATCAACTTTGGTATCTGTAACAATACATACAGCTACTTCGCACTGTTTTCACTGCTGCAACTGCATCTTTAAAATGTTCATTATCTACTGCAAAACTAAATTCAGTACTACAGGGCTTTAGAACTGCTGTTCTTGTTCATTCAAGCACATTTCTCTCCATTTGAAGGTGCCAACAAAAGTAGTAGCTAAAATATAACAACTACCTGACATACACTTATAACCTAATTAAAAGTTAAACTTGGAGTAATTAGAGTAAAACACAGACCACGTATTTTACTGCCAGACTATCTAGATTATTTATATCACTGAGAACAATGGGCCTATGGCTCCAGTTCTTAAATGCCATATCAGACAAAGTTTAATTACAGATAATCTTTAAAAAATGACGGAAAAGCCAACCTATTTAGCAGCATAGCATACTACAACGTGGAAAGCCTAAACTTCATGACAACCTGTTACTCCTGGGCTGTCTGCAGGCTGGGGTAAAAGACAAGGGAGAGCAGTAGCACAGACAGATTACACCCTGTACAGCACAACATCCACAACGAAACAAAAATAAAGAGACATTTATTAGTTGCATTTACTTTTAGAGGTAAATTGAAAATACGAAAACCAGCCATAAACTATTTAATTACATGGCTGAATCCAACTTACTGAAACCAACTGCAGTTTGAGATTCAAACAGAGTTTACAACAAAACATAGTATTTTTAAATAACTCAAAGGTCAGTATATATTTTTCCCAAAGATGCCATAACACACAATTTTCAAACACAGCAATGAACTAGAAAATTTTGGTATAAAAATTCGTGTTTATTTTGTGACTTATTTTAATAAGTTATTGGGCATAAGATCACATTTAGCAATACAATTACGGCTGGAAGCATTACTATACCTCTCAGTACCTTTTATTTTCCAAAGAGCTAGTTTTCTAGAACATAAGAGAAGATAAGAATGTTGATATACTTCAGTAGTATTAGTTAATGTTTCTTAAATCCACTGCTCACGTCACTGAAGGAGAATTTTACCATTTACAGTTGTTTCAGTGCAATGCTGTAACTTAGACACAGGAATAGTGACATCTAGTGGCAACATAATTTTTTGTGAATTATTTTCTAAATAGTTTACTCTTAGCACGCTAACGCTTTCAAAACTTTGTAGGTTTCAGTCCAAATTCAAAATTATATAATGATGACATTCAGTATTAAACAATGTTACCCACCTGTGCAGCAATACCTATTCTGCCACGATTTAGCATTGAAATTGCATACTTATAGCCTTGCCCAACCTGTCCTAGGATACTGGTCTCAGGAACCTATGGAATAAAATCACTTGGTTATTCCTATTCTATTCAGCTCTGCAACTGCTAGCAGGTTTCACAGATAAATCAAATATTCCTCATAAATGAAGGCATAAAATATAAACAGGCTTTTAATTCCTTATTTGATTAGGACCTTCCCCCAATATGCATGATCATAAACCGAAGATTGAGAAAACAATTCAGAATGAAATCACAAGTCAAAAACTATATCAAAGTTCAAGAAATCCAAGCCCCGCAGGCTGCTTGTGAAAAAATGGGGAGGAAAGTCAAGTAAAGCCAAATAATCAGTATGCCTACAGAAAAAAATTAATAAAAACAGGCATTTAGTTAACATTCTTTCCTGACATATGGTCATACTCAAATTATGCACAAATCATGTTTCAACAGCTAAACATCTTACCATACCTTAACATTTTCAAATGTTACTGGGCAGGTAGAGGATGCTCTGATTCCAAGCTTATTCTCCTTCTTCCCTACTTGTAGCCCTTCTGTGTTGCGATCTACTATGAAGCATGTAATTCCCTTGTATCCCTAAGATGAATTAAAAAAATAATCAAGAACTCTTTAAAAATAGTATCACCAAACAGGGTCCAAATAGCTCACTCCAAAATTGAAATTTACATTTGCTTAATACTACATTACTAAATAAAATACTGGCACCATCATCTGTTCCCTCTTTGTGGACTAATTACAGCTTAACAAAGGTCAAAGTATATCATTCTATTAAAAAAATATCACGGGAAAAATAGAGTAACCTTCCAAGTTCTCGTGATAAGACTAGGGACTGGTACCATGAAAAAAGACTGCATCTCTCTTTGAGAGTGCCTGCCTATACAGGAAGTCACTGGGAAAATGAGTCAGAGCTATGCACTGAAGTTGCTGCTTGCTGTTGGAATACCTGGCACAGTTAAACAAAGGACTCAAGAAAACAGAGGATGTCTTTAGGCTAGTGTGGTCAATTGAGTAGTGGCTCTTGCCCCACCTGCCACATGATTCTATAGGATTCAAGATTTTACTTAAACCAAATTACTTCAGCTATGCTTCTCACAGAAGCCTGCAAACAGCATATACTTCCCTTTAAGTTTGTCCAAACTATGAGTGCTACGACCGACACCGCTTGGAACTGTGAATATTCAGAGCTCAATATACTAATAAGTATTATAAAAGATCTAAGCAGACCCCAGAACTAGAGGACACTCTCCATGTGCTTCTGGGCTGTAGAACATGACTACTACTGTATTGTTACTTTACAGAGGCAGTGGGGAAAATATTTAATTAAGCGCTCTGAAGTTATTATGACAGTTGTTTTGAAAAAGCTCAAAGAGTCAATAATTTGATATTCAGTTCATGATTTGCACAGGATACAAAACACACGTGACAACATGTAGATTGTATAGCTAGTCTAAACTCTGGAATCTTTTAAGCACAGATTTAAAGCCTTCACACCTCTGAAGTCTTTTAAAGTAGATGCTTGTAGTATAGCACAGTGATTCCCAAACCATTTAGGTTGGCCTCATGGCTGTTACTTTCTCTTTCTCCCTCCATTTCATTTACTCCCAACTCTCTCTTCCTTTCCCCACTCATTCACATTTCTCAGCAATCCTTCCCCCCGCCCCCAAAACACAGCGTCTCTTAACACAAGGTCCATGAGACAGACAGATGCGAGGTGTTCCTGATCCCATCTCCTCCTCTCCCTAGCACAGCAGCTCTTCTCATTAAGAGGGTGACACAGAGGCAGGAAAAGTGCTGTGACTCTTGCAGAAGGATTGTCTCTTATTAAAGATGAGCCTGCTGTTTCTTCTGCACATCTCACCTTAATGACAGACCAGCTCACCAACTGGAAGCTGCTAGTACAGAGCGTGTATTTCAGGATACAAATCCACAGTGGTCTGTTCTCTCATTTGTATTGATGTCAACTGTTACTTAATCTTCAAGCAACATCACCTTTTAATTCTCCTTCTTGAGTATTTAAACACAAAAGCAAATTTATAACTTTAAAACTATGTATTATCTGTTTTTGTAAAATGCTATATTAAAGAAACAATTCCAGATGAGATGACGATCGGTAGACGATGAATATAAAAATTGTATTACCAAATCTGTTTTCAGTTTACGTAGTACTCAAATCATTCACCAGTTTTTAAACAAATGAATCCAAATTCAGAAAGAAAGTGACAGAATGCTCAACTGTTCCATTCAGTGAAAGAAAAAACTCCTTTTCATCAGTTAAAGCTTCAAATTTTAAAAATAAATATCTTCAAGATAAACTTTAAAAAAGATACCGGAATAAGTTTAAAAAAGATTATAAACAACTTAATTTCGTATTTGATTATTGCTCTTCTTCTTTGGTAGAGTGCATTTTAAAGACTGTAGTTCACCTTTTTGAATCTTTACTACCTATATCCAAGTTGGTAAGTGACAAAACACAAAATATGCATGTTCAGCTTCGTATTTTGTTAGCTGCATATACTTTACTGTTGCACATTTGTTAACTTTCCATTGCATGTAGCCAACGCTCTATTTCACCTTCTAGTAACAGTTAATTGCCAGTTAAGTCAGAAGTGTCAGAAAGACTTAGAGTGTCTGTTCTTTGGTGACTGAGGATAATACCAATGCTTGCTGTGCTATTCACCATGCAATTATGATTGTCATTTTTATTTTTCTTGGTGGGGCAAACATACTAAACTGTGCAGCAGGTTCTCCCTTTTTTGGGGAAATATTTTTAAAGGGTTGTTCTCAGCTAGGAAAGGTGCAAAGAATACTAACCTTTAACACTATCTTATTAATATAAATCCAGTCATATATTATCAGCTGTCACTGAAAATACAACTACTCCTTTGGAAATTACCAAAGCAGGATCTGTATTTGCCATCACAAAAAAAACGTCCGCGTGTTCTGCAAAGCTAATCCACATCTTTGAGCCACTGATGATATAGTAGTCACCCTTCTTTTCAGCCCGAGTCTTCAAAGAAAATGCATCACTGCCAGATCCAGCCTCCGAAAGACAGAAACTGCCTATCTACCAATTGAAGAGAAAAGTTAGTTTTACTTCTTATTGAATATATTGGCGCATCTAACAAGCTTTGAAAGGAAATTAATCCTAAAACAAGCACAAGTCTGTTAAATTCAAATATTTTAACTTATATGTTGTATCAAAATAACTAAGTTACAGGTGTGGAGATTAAGAATATAAACACTATGTATTTACAGGTCTCTCAAAGTCAACTGCTCTAAAGTTCTTTTCCACAGTAAATTAAGTTTCAGTGAAACTAATCAGCACCTTTCCACTTTTTACCTCTCAGCTGTTAACGACCAGAACATATCTATATCACCACAGATTTCAGCTCTAAGAAGAGTTTCAAAGTTCCCATATAAAGACATCTCCTAATGCTGCAGTTGACCATTTAATCACTGGAAAAGACACCAACATTACTAAATTATAATATAGTTTTAGGTAGTTGTGTAAAGTGAGACTTCAACTCACCATATCTTTAGCCACTCTGGGCAAGTATGTTCTCTTTTGTTCTTCTGTTCCATATGTGCTAAACAACTTATTAGTTAATGTATTTTGGAGCTCACACAGAAGAGCTACAGCTGGATCAACTTTGGCCAGTTCTTCTACCACCAATATGGTTGAAAAAAATGAAGCTCCAGTTCCTCCATATTCTTCTTCAAGCTCAATACTCATCAGCTAAAAGAGTGCAAATACAGCAATTTTTCTTGCTAGTTTTGCCAACACCTTCTTAGCCCAAGCTGATACTAAAGACAACAGATTAAGATAAAACATGAAATATAACTATTTCCAGACCCCGGCCTAAAAGACCTATTTTCCTTCAAATCCCCTTGAAGATTAACAATCTGACAGTTCCTCATAGAAGTTGATAGTTAATTTAGTCAAGAAAAAAATAACATGTGCAGTAGATAGGCCAATCACCACCTTAACTAATCTGATTACATTTTCTGTAACAATCACAATGTCTAACTGCAATAAGTCTAATACTTGGAAATTTCTTTGCATAAAATGACATTCTAAACACAAATGTTAGGTTTGACAGCAGGAAAGGCTAAGATCTAATTCCAGTTTATTCCAGGAATGATCAATAGGTTGTCTGCAACAACGAGCTGCCTGATTAGCACATAGAGGACTCCTGGTACCCTTTTCCAGCAATGCTGTTAGGAGAGTCATACCATTTCTAGGACACTGTACAATTATGCTTATCCAAGAAAAAAAGGTGAGGAAAAGACAGAGAACTCAAAAACATGATGAGGAAAGTGGTACAGGCATAGGAGTAAAAGAGAGTAGAAAAGAGAAAGTTACCCCACTGTTGATAATTCCACAATTTGTAATGACTCATCAGTTCATTGGAATCATATACCTCAATCTTTTCACCCGAAAAACCTGAAGAGTACATCGCTATGAACCTATATTAATAACGTCATTTTTTGAGTAAAATATTAAGTAAGAGTGTGCAGACCCCTTGTTCAAACAATCCCTTTATTATCGATTCTTCCATTTTCGAATTCTCATCCATTTTTTGCACCAAAGGTGCAACTTGTTCCTGAGCAAATTTTTTCACTGCAATGAAGAGAAGAAAGACAGACAGCACGTAAGGATTCTAAAATTCCACTTGAGGATCAATATAACAGTAACATATTATTTCTGACGGGTTAGGCATATAATGCCCTGAGTCTCCCAGACAACTATGTTTGAAGGCCAAAAAGTTGCTCAAGTAAAACAGTGCATTGTGCCACGAGGCTCATTTATCAAAGTGTTTTCTGAACTCAGTTAGAAAACTCTGAACTGAAACAACAAATACTGCTTATAGATTCAGAAATTCCAGAAGCATCTTAGCTACACTTTTTTGGGACGTGAGTTGACCAAAAAAATGATAGAAAATATTTCAAATATACTTCTTATTTTGCTGGCTGTATCTTTTTTCTATATAAACTTAACCTGCATTTAGCAAAGATGGTCTCAGGCTTTCACGCATGTTATTTGGGCTGCACACAATTCTGTACATAAGATCGATCTTGTTTCGTCCAAGCCTTTTATTAGCTCTCTCCAAGAGATTCAGGCCCTCACTTTCCCCTTTTGCTTTCAGGGTTCTTTCTGAAGCACTGTCTTCACATGGGCCTGAATATATTGCAAACCCTCTGATCACATCTGTCACCATACTGGGTCCACTTTAACTGCTCCAGCTGGCTTTCAGAGATTTCTACGTAGCTGAACCAAACATTTTGGGATGGACGTGAGTCAATGCCATGAAACACTGCTTTTGCATTAATAGTGGTTTTAAGCAGTTAATACTTATTTATGCAGAGTAAACCATACTACGGCTTGGAATATCGAAAAAGAACCAAAAGAAGAACATTGCATTCTTCTTTTATGAACTAAAGCAGTTTTAAAATTAAACACAATCCCACACAACAATCTAAGTATTTAGCCAGAAGCAAATAATAATAAAAAATTAAGCTAAAATTTCCCTCAGACACTTCTGAATTTTAACCACACAGAGAATAAGTACCCATATGTTTCATCATTGTCTCCTCTTCAGTGAACGTTTGAAGCGGAGCACAGACAACTCCATCACTGGCTACATTTGGCATAAGTCCCGATTTGGAGGATCTAAAGACACGCGGAGAAGCCTTCCAAGAAGCCAGGTACGCTGGCATACTTCTCTTCAGCTGTTGACAACAAATACAGAACTTTAGAACAGTCAGTACAAAATAGAACTTTCATTGCTCCAATATCTGTAGACAGACAGCAATAAACACTTACCTGCTGCTTTTTTCTCAGTAACTGAACAGGAAATACAACTACAGCTGATTACTTTACAGCATCGCTAATTTGAAGGGTTTTGCGAACATGCACCACCCCCCCCACATACATACCAAAAGAAAATACCCTTTAACCACCTTTCTTTTACCTGACATCTATTAACCCCAAACAATGTCTTTCTAAAAGTTTGCTAACACTTACAATGTTATTCTACAAGAGATTCACAAACGTTAATACCTTCTCAGTCAATTTTAATGTTTAGGGCAAGTAAACACTCCTGATATCTGTAAAATGAAATACTGATTTTGAAAATCTGAAGTGATATTCTTCTTAGCAAGTGTGTATTTTGGCAAAATTAAGCTCTTTGTTAACAAGTATGATAAAAGTAAATGCAAACTAGACATATAGGTGTCTTTACAGAAGACCAGTCAACTTTAAAAATAGATTTTGTTTTCTCCTTTTTCTAGCGGCCAGCAGCTCATTTCTAAAGCAATCTTATCATACTTCTGTTGGATTATCAGTGGCATAACTTTAATACCATGGATGATTTTTGTATCCAAGCTCAGTTCTTATCCACCACTTCATAATTTTCAGAATAAGTACATATTTCATACACCAAGCACTGGCACCTGAGTGTTTCTATATAGTTAATTTAAATCCTACAGTTTTCTATATAGTAATTTAAATCCTACATTTAGCATGCTGACAGTACTATGTAAGTAATAATTAATGTGTCTTATTTCATTGGTTTACAGAAAAAAACTGAAATTGAGCAATTTATACTTAAAATTCAGCAGCCTCTCTCCATTCATCCACAACGTACAACAATCTCAAATCATATCAAGAAGAAAAGCTTATCCAGTCAAGACAGTAGAGCTGCTACAGAGTGATTTACTATACGCGGAATGGTGTTAAGCACATGTGGCAAAATCTGACAAGTCACAACAGTTAACAGAACAGATGGTGGCTTTTGGAAGTAAGTTTCATGTAGTGCTTATCAGGTGGGTGGACATACAGATAATGTGACAGATAATTGTTTTAGGATCTTGGGAAACTATAAATTAATATAAGTCTCTGAACATTAAGTAAGTAGATAACACCATGCTTTGGAAAGCAACAAATCCTTGGCTTGGAATTTAACTAATTTTCTAACTACGTAATAATCGCTTAGGGTTTTAAAAAAGTTAGCATAACAAAAACAATCTGGCTCCACAAGTAATAAGCTAACAGTAGCTAACCTGCTGCGAAGCTTATTGCTGAAAAGCAATATGCAGAAGAGAAGTATAGAGCTAGTGACTCTGATCTCAAAAGAGGCAAGAGAAAGATGTCTTTGCTCCCATAGCTCCCCAAACCCAACTTATTATGTGGCTCACTTCTAAATACCCGATCTTTGCTACAGATTTCTGTCCCTTTTGCTACGTCAGTCCAAAGTGCAGAGACATTCGGTTCCTACCAAGATAACTGCTGACAGAAATCCCTCATAAAGACATAGCTGTGCCATAAAAACAACGTATGTGTGAGTATATTCCTGACAAAAAAAAAGTTTTGCTAGCAATGCACTCTTAACCCTACAGCAAGCAGACTGATTGACTGCACTGTGAACAGACTGCTATTTAGCTCACAGAATGCAGGACAGTTTGGCAACGTACATTGTGACAGCATTGCTCAAAAAATGGCAGGAACTTTTGAGGTCAAGAACTCAAAATCCTT